ATCATCAGGCAATATATGCATTCTGGGGAGTTCCAGAAGGTTAAAGAAGAAAGAAAGGAGAAAGGGGCAGAGAGATTACCTGAAGAAATAATCATTAAAATCTTTGCAAAGCTGGGGAAAACCATGGATTTAAAGTTCAAGAATCACAACGAACTCTAAGTAAGATTAACCAAAAGAGGGCTACACCAAGATACATTATAATCAAACACTCAACAGCCAAAGTCAAAATCTTGAAAGGAGCAAGAAAAAAAAGCAGCTCTTCATAGACAAGGGAATCTCAATAAGATTATCAGCAAATTTCTCAGTAAAAACCTCAAAGATCAGAGGGATGAGGTAATAAAGGGCTAAAAGAAAAAATATGTCAATTGATAATTCTATATTTGGCAAAACTGTCCTTCAGAAATAAAGGCAAAATTAAGACATTCTCAGATAAATAATATTGAACATCACAAAGGAGATTTTAGCCACAGCAATTAGGCAAGAAAAATAAAAGGCATTCAAATTGGAAAGGAAGAATTAAAATGACCTCTGTATGTAGATGACATGATCTTATATGTAGAGCATCCTAAATACCCCCTGCCCAAAAAAACCCCAGAACTACTAAATGAATTCAGCAAAACTGCAGGATACAAAATCAATATGCATGAATTAGTTTCTATACATTAACAATGAACAACCTGTAAAGAAAATTAGGAAAACAATTCCATTGATAATAGCATCAACAAGAATAAGCAAAGGCAACAAAGGCAAAAATAAACAAGTGGAACTACATCAAACTAAAAAGCTTCTGCACAGCAAAAGAAACAATAAAATGAAAGAAAAGGCAACCTACCCAATGGGAGAAAATATTTACGAATCATACATCTGATAAGTGGTTAATATCCAAACTATATAAAGAACTCATACAACTCAATAACAATAAAAAAAGAACCAATGTAATTAAAAAATGAGCAAAGGATCAGAATAGACAGTTTTCCAAAGACATACAGATGGCCAACAGGTACATGAAAAGGTGCTTAACATCACTAATCATTAGGGAAATGCCAATCAAAACCAGAATGAGATATCACCTCACACCTATTACTATGACTATTATAAAAAATACAAGAAATAACAAATGTTGGCAAAGATGAGGAGAAGAGGGAAGGAACCCTTATGCACTGTTGGTGGGAATGTAAATTGGTGCAGCCACTACGAAAAACAGCATGCAGATTCCTCTAATTCCTATAAAAATAGAACTACCAAATGATCCAGCAATCCCACTTTTGGGCATTTATCCAAAGGATACAAAAACATTAACCTGAAAAGAGATATGTACCCCTATGTTCACTGCAGCATTATTTGCAACAGCCAAGACATGGAAACAAGCTAAGTGTCCATGGATGGATGAATGGATAAAACATAATGTGGTATACATATACAATGGAATATTGTTCAGCCAAAGAAAAGGAATGAAATCTTGCCATTTGTGATAACATGAATGGACCTTGAGGACATTATGCTAACTGAATAAATCAAAGAAAGATAAATACCATATGATCTCACTTACATGTGGAATCTAAGCGGGGAAAAATCATAGATACAGAGAACAAATTGGTGCTTGCCAGAGGCAGAGGGTGGGGAGTGAGTGAAATGAGTGAAGGTGGTCAAAATGTACAAACTTCCAATTATAAAATAAGTAAGTCTTGGGAGTGGCGACTATAGTTAATAACACTGTACAGTATACTTGAAATTTGCTAAGAGGGATCTTAAAAGTTCTCATCACAAGAAAAAAGTTGTAATTATGTGTGGTGGTAGATGTTAACTAGACTTATTGTGATTATTTTGCAATATATGCAAACATCAACATATTACACTGTATACCTGAAACTAATATAACGTTATATGTCAATTATATCTATCTATCTATCTGACAAAGAATAAAATACTCAGGAATAAAACTTAACCAAGGAAGTGAAAGACTTTTACACTGAAATCTACAAAAGTTTGATGAAGGAAACTAAGGAATACACAAATAAATGGAAGGCCAACCCATGTTCATGAGTTATTAGAGTCAATATTGTTATAATGTCAATACCACCAAAAGTGATCTACATATTCAAAGCAATCCCTATTAAAGTCCTAATAACATTTTTTGCAGAAACAGGAAAATCCATCCTAAAATGCATATGAAATCTCAAGTGATTCTGAATGGTCACACAATCTTGAAAAAGAACAGCATTAGAAATCTCACATTTCCTGATTTCAAAACTTACTACCAAGCTACAATAATCAAAACAGTGTGGTATTGGCATAAAGAAATACATATAGATCAATGGAATAAAATAGAAAGCCCAGAAATAAACCCTCACATATATGGTCAAATGATTTTTGACAAGTGTGCCAAGACCATTCAGTGGGGAAAGGTCAGTCTTTTCAACAAATGGTGCTGGGAAAACTGGATATCCACATGCAAAAGGAAGAAGTTGGACCCTTACCTTAAACCATATACAAAAATGAACTCATACTGGATCAGAGACCTAACTGTAAGAGCTAAACCTATAAAACTCTTAGAAGAAAACAGAGGAGAAAATTTTCTTAACACTGGATTTGACCAAGATTTCTTGGATATAACACGAAATGTACAAGCAACAAACAAAAAAATAGGTTAAATTTGACTCCATCAAAATTAAAAACTTTTATACATCAAAGGACCCTATCAAAAGAGTAAAAAAGATACCCTCAGAATAGGAAAAATATTTACAAATATTTAAAATGCTTACAAATCGGGCTGGCCAAGTGGCGCGTGGGTTAAGAGCTGGCTTGGGACGCCAGAGAGCCCCGGTTCAGATCCCACATTTGAGGGCCAGTGACACTGCCCTCTACAGCTAAGATGCTGAACAACAGTTCAACCTGGAGCTGGGCTGCCTGTGAGTCGCTGATGACGGTGTAGGCTGCAGCCCCTGTGGCAGTGGGTTGCCATGGGCTACCGTGTGTAGCCAGCAGCCAGCGTGAGCGGCCAGCAGCCGCAGTGAGCGGCCGTCCAGAAGCCGGTGACTGATCTGCCTCGCCAGAGAAGAGCGCAATGATGGTGCCAACTTGGGCCAGTGAAGCAACGTCCTCCACAACTAGACTGAAGAACAAAAGGACAGTAACTTGTCTGTTCCCCTTCCCCCAATTTCCCAATAAAAATCTTAAAAATATATATTTACAAATCATATCTTATAAAGGATTAGTACCCAGAATCTCTTAAAAAAACTCATACAACTCAACAACAAAAAAACCAAACAACCCAATTTTAAAAAAGGGAAAATGACTTATTTCTCCAAAGATATACAAATGGGGAATAAGCACATGAAAAGACGTTCAACCTCATTCATCATTAAGTATAACAGAAATATACATATATTGGTCTCTGCCCCAGTTCCTGGCACAGAGCTCCTAAAACCCTTGTAATTTCCTAAGTGATAAGAACACTAGGAGCATCTCTTATTCTAATATTTGGCTTTGACTCCATCCTTGACACAGGGCTCCTAAAACCCTTGTAAGTTTGTAAGTGATAAGAGCATCAGGAGCACCTTGTGTTCTAATGAGGCACCTCTGGGTGGATTCCCGGATGGGGTGACCAAGACATGATTAGAGGCTTGGAATTTTCAGCCCAACACCCCATCCTTCAGAGAGGGGAGAACTGGAAATGGAGTTAATTGTGGGAGACCAGCTCCCACAAATCCAGGGGTTCCCTCAGGTGGAGTCGGCATCAGCGAGGAAAGAAGAACATGCGGAGACACAGGAGCACTTTCAAAAATTAATGTCTCACTTTATTTTTAAAGCATGTCCTTTGTATACTGGACAGGTTAACTATTTACATCATTGAGCTGTTTTTCCCAAAGTTGTTTTTCCAAGTTTAAACCTTTACCCATTAGGAAATTGTTTTCTACATAGTTTCAATGTTCCTTCCTTCCCAGGGTCTGTTTTCCTTAGAAGTTTGTTTTTCTCAGAATTTTACTTCCTCTCGATGTTTCCATTACAGGGTACAGCAAGATCTGTTATTCACTAATGACTAACTTTTCGTAACTATGTTTCAATTTCTTCCACTAATGGCCAGAGCTGAGTTCCTGCCTTGGCACTTAAAGGATGTTTACTACTTAGCAACCATTTCAAACACTACTGGCTAAACAGGATCTTAAGAATTATAAGGTGCATAACTTGTCTATCACTAAGAAACTATCACTAAGAAACTAACAGTAAAACATAATTATTGTAATATGTCCAAAACTCACTTATTTAAAGAAAACAAAACAATCAATATAAGAAGGGGTGTCAGATCTTTATCCTACTGCGGGCATCCAAAGGAGAATTTAAAAATTTTTTAAGATATAAAGCAGTATCTGTTTCTCAGTCAGAGCTTCAGAATTTGTCACAATTGCAGTGTGCTTGGCCATGTCAGACACTGAGGCACAGCCGGCTCCCAACAGTTAATGATTGATCATGCCTATGTACTGAAACCTCCATAACTGTCAGAAAAGGAGGGGGTTCAAAGAATTTCCAGGTAGGCGAACACATCCACCTACCAAGAGGGTCCCCAACTCCATGGGGACAGAAGTTCCTGCAGTCAGGACTCTCCCAGACCTTACCTTATTTATCTCTTTTATCAAACCAAGTGTCCATCAATGGGTGAATGGATAAACAAAATGTAGTATATACATACAATGGGATATTATTCAGCCTTAAGGAAGAAAATTCTGACACATGCTACAACATGGATGAACCATAAAAACATTATGCTAAGTGAAATAAGGCAGACACAAAAGGAAAAACAGTGTTATGATTCCACTTATATGAGGACCTATAGTAGTCAAATTCATAGAGACAGAAAAAGGGGTGGTGGTTGCCAGGGGACGGGGGCAGTGGAGAATGGGAATTAGTGCTGTATGGGTATAGAGTTCCAGTTTGAGAAAATAAAAAGTTCTGGAGATGGATAGTGATGATGGTTGCGCAATGTGAATATACATAATGTCACTGAATTGTATACTTACAAAGGGTTCAAATGGTAAATTTTATTTTACCACAATAAAAAAATAGCATACTAAAATTATCTCCCAGGTATTGTGAGAATCAAGTAAGATCTATGTAGAAAAGCTTTATATTCTATATGGCCCTTCACAAATATTAGCTCTTTTAATCATTATCACCCTGTTTACCCCAACCTGATGCCATTATCCACATGCTCTCTCTACCCACTCACGCTCACCCAGCAGCATACTGTTGGAGTTGAAATGCTGTCCAGTGCCATCCACTTTCATTTTACTAAATTCTGGATTCCATGTGCCAAGCCAACAGTCTCCCAGAGATCTGGTTCTGAAATAGAACAAGCCCCCCCAAAAAACAAAAGTTTTAGACCAGCTTGGTGGATTCTAAGGAAAGAACTCAGACTTTCTCCACTTACTCAGTTTTCCCCAGTGTTTAACTTGGAAGCAATCCTCATTCAGCAACAAGAGGTCACCATGCCATTGCCAAGAACAGGGGAGATCTTCCTCCAATTCAGTTGACCACCCACCTCCTTGGCCTGCTACCAAGCAACGTATCTTACAAGGCAGCCTTTGAGCAGGTGAAGGATTCTGAATTTTCTGGGAAAGGAATACAGGAAATGTATTCACTGAGCATGAATTGAGAGCAAAAGTAGTTAGATAAGAAATAAAAAACAAAAGCTATATAGATAAGGTGTGATCTTTAAAATAAAAAAAGAAAAAAAAACATGAAAATGCTAAAATCAAGACCAGAATGACCAGCTTTGGTGGACTGGACAACTCTCTATAGAGTAGCCTCAGAGCTGAACCCTTAAATATTCCCAGAAAACACAGATATTGCTGCAGAACCAGTGTGATAATGCAGTAGTGATAATGCACTTAGGAGTGATGTTTCTTTCTGGAAAGCAAGCCAATGGTACCGACATCCAGATACTGACCAGTATTCACGCGTCAGCAGGCAGGTGCTCTCTGCGGGCTCTAAGTTTCCTTAGCTCTTCAGGCGCTGCTTACTGAGAATTTCTCCTAACATGGATAATAATACCGTGCCATCCAGAATCTTTTTCATGCCATGATGCCTGTTCAGGAGTTGCTGCCTTCCCAGGTATTTCCTGGAGGAACAATGAGGGGTTTCATTCCATGACTCTTTGAAGAGCTTTAAATGTGGGTCAAACATACAGTAGTACTTAACCCAGCCTTGGAAGTTTGACCCGCTATGGCCAGGAGAAAGGGCCCGAGTCTCTGTGCCCTCACAACTCTGAATGTCTTTGCTTGCTTCAATTGTACGTTATCTAACATTCTTAGTGTCATCAACAAGATTGGATAAGAACTCAGAACTTCCCCACAAAACTTTCTGCCAATGACCCCCAAATCTTGCCTATCGTTTCCCAAATTCTGATTCTCCACTACATACCCTTTCTCTTCTGCTCAAAGCCCCCAAATAATACCTATTCTATATATTTAGTCCCATTTGTGTAGTAATGCATCTTCCCTAGTTTTCCTCTAACCTCTTCATACTGCACCTGTATCAGTGTTAAATGAGGCTAAACCATAATACCTACAACAGTGTCAGATGTCCCATCTTCTGTCTTCATTTTGCTATAACAGGGAGGCAAAAGAAATGTGTCACTCTGGGAGTGTCACAGTGAAGTTTCCCAAGACTCCCATGGACAACAGACACTGAGGCCGGGGTCACTAGCACATGGCCTATAAGTGAAACTCAAATATAAAAAAGCAAAAGCTTAAGAAATAGCCATTGCACATACCTCCTCTTTTATAACCAGTAGAGTAGGGTTGGTTGAGGAAATGATAGAACCAACAGTCAATTCTCCTCAGATGGTTAATCGCAGCAGAACAAGCTCTGGCTAAGTGCCTTAACCTATTCTTGGGTGGTTTATTATAGTGAGTCATTGACCCAACATCACCAGGTCACATGCTCTTTCTTTTCCAAAAATGGTAATAAACTATGTAGCCATCCACATTCTCTTAGTTATCCTGGGAGACAATGGATAGAGCAGTAAGCATTCAGTCTCTGGAACCAAAGCAACCTGAATTCAAACTATGCCTTAGCTGCTTGCTGTGTACCACTGGTCAATGATGTTTCCTGTTCTGATGTTTTCTGATACCCTGCCTGCCAAAGTCCTCCGCCGCCCCGCCCCCATCATCAGGAACACGGAGCCCGCGGGCTAGGCCGGCGTAGATAAGGGTCTGTTCTCCTTTTACCTCCTCATCTGCTCGGCTACGTTAACGCCTTAACGTTGAATGCCCCTCACTCTCTTAATCTCCAGGCTGCCGCCACTGTCTTTCCCCATCTCACTCGGTAAACTCACAGTATTTGCAAAAGGATCATTTGCACGCCGCTGGGGCGGGGCCAAACATTTCCCTCCCCTAACAGGGCGTAATTAAAAATGAAAGTGCCACGGTTGTTAGCAAATGACTTCCCTGTGACTATGGTAAAGCCGCGGCTTCCATCTTTATTGTGGTCGCAATTACTCGCGTTAGCCTAAGTAAAACATGAATAATACAGGCTTCACATTAGCCTGGGCCTACCTGAATCCGACTGTGAACGCAGTGATTCTCAGCCGGCAGCCCGGCCCAGAAGGGTTAATGCTCTCGTGGAGGAAACCCCCCGCCCCCGGACTGTGACGCAGTGACGCCAGGGGAGGGGCCCTGCGTCCGCCCGGCCCAGGCGTTTCCTGTTCGCGCACAATGCGGAAGAATGTTGGGCGCTGGGCTCACGCGCCTCACGGAAGTGTGTCCTGGCTCACCGGAAGCCTCCGGAAAAGGACGATGGCGGGTTTGACTGTGCGAGATCCTGCGGTGGATCGTTCTCTCCGTTCAGTGTTTGGTGAGAGGAATTCGGTGGAACCAAGCATGGGGAAGGGACAGAAAGAGTCAGTGAGCGGCGAGGAACGCCCCCCGCATCTCATGAATCGGCGCGGGAACCGGTGACGGGTCCGGCGTGCGGCTCTCCCTGCCTCTCCTGTGCGGCGGGCAAAGTGGCGGACTCGTGGGCAAAAGGATGCTCCCCTGACCCCGAGGTTTTGGCAGCCCTTCCACGATGTGGCTGAGAAAGTTAAACTAGCGTTCAGCTTCTATGCGTTTCTCCTTTCACGAGCTTCAGTTTTGTAGAAGCGAACGCGCATGGCAACTGTCCCCTACTACTACTAAATCCCCGCTCCCAGCATACAGATTATGTGCTAAGATCCTTGTGTCCACTTCCCGCCCTCTCGTAACGACTTTCATCCTCTGCTTTTAGCCAGGAACATTTTAGTTCGTAGAGGTAGCGGTTACCTGGCGTCTTACGGTGGATTGTAAATAAATGAATGAATGAATGATTAAGACGTCGTCAAAGAAATTTTAAAGAGGATCGAATCTATTCTAAGTAATCTTTCCAGCCGAAATAAGTTGTTTTTTTAAAGTATGTGCGGTGATTTTAAATCACTTTTGGAAGGGACATGACAAAACAGTTCAGAATAATTATTAAACATCTTTCACTACTTTCATGGTTATTCTTTAAGTGTGTGTGTGTGTGGGGTGTGTGTGTGTGTGTGTGTGTGTGTGTGTGTGTGTGTGTGTGGTGATACGGACATATGAGCCGGTTTTAAGAATTAAAATTGTTGCTATTTTTGGTAGTTATTGATAAGACTTTCAGACCTTCAGGTAAATAGCAATGCCTAAGTATTTTTCACCAAAGTTGAAAATCCAACACTTGTCAGATTAGCCTGAGAACTGATATTTAGGAATGTCTACACCTTTTGTATTTAGTTTCAGTGGTTTATTTCTCATTGCAACTAAAGTTAGCAGACAAGATTGAAATCTTGGAACCGGGGTTGGAGGAGCACTGTATTTTGAGCAAGTTATCACGTTTTCTGATATAAGTAGGCACTGTTTATTTTCTTACTAAAGATCTACATTACAAACTCAGAATTTTCATGTTACGTATTTTCTTAGTGGGGAACATTCCATATGAGGCTACTGAAGAGCAATTAAAGGACATCTTTTCTGAAGTTGGACCTGTTGTTAGCTTCAGGTGAGGTTCCTTTTCACTACCTGGTGGGAATTTCTTTAAAAATCACAAATTTGGCCCTTAGTAATAATGACAGTGTTTATACTTAAGGTGACTTTACACATACATTCTTCATTGTTTGTTTGTTTGTAACAGCTTCATTGTGATATAATTCACATATCATACAATTCACATTCATTTTTTATTAAAAGATAGATTTCTTTAAATATATGTGGGTATGGGCAGACGGCATTCAAAGTACATGCCATTTTCAAGTATGCCCAGGCTTTTACTCTCTGCTAAGCCCTTTTGTGTTTCCCATGCACATGTGTTCAGCTTCAGGGTCAGCCAGGTATGTGTAACTGGTTGGGGTTTTCTCCAGAATCTGCTGCACATGCACACAGTCAATCAAAAAAAAAATGTGCTCTCTTCAATAAGGATTATAACCTCAGACTAGTGGAGCTGTGAGCATTCCCTACTCCACTGCCCCTGTAATTGTTACTTCTACAGACAACACTGCTGGGTATGGGCTTTTCCCACCACACCAAATTGAGCAAGCCCCTTCGCTAGTCACAGAGAAGCTACTGGTCTTTGTGACCTGACCTGTCCTGGAAAATCTTCCTGTCAACTGAGCTGGGGGATGGATTCATTTTTTAAAAAAATGTTTATGCATGTCAACTGAAATTGAGAAGTTAAATGTTTAAAAAATATTTCAGTGAGTAATAAGGTTATTTGTCTTACAGTTGACCAAATTAGAATATGGCAATGTTAGCAGGAACCCTGTGTGTATGTAACATTTGTGCCTGATACTTGGTTCTGCTCTCCAGGTTGGTATATGACAGGGAGACAGGAAAGCCAAAGGGATACGGCTTCTGTGAATACCAAGACCAAGAGACAGCTCTTAGTGCCATGCGAAACCTGAATGGGCGTGAGTTCAGTGGGAGAGCACTTCGAGTAGACAATGCTGCCAGTGAAAAGAACAAAGAAGAGCTGAAGAGTGAGTATAAACCCAAGTTGTGGGCAACATGAGTTAGTAAAGATGTAATAATGAAGATTTTCCATTTATGATATATTTTAGCATCTGCTGAAATGGTTACCCACTCAGTTTCTTTACTTGACCCACCTGAGGTGCTTGCATTAGGGAACTGTATATCTTTGAGACACAAGGTAAAGTTGACTTTAGAAGTCATTCAGTTGCCAAGGAGTTGATTCCAGTTGAAGATGAATTCAGGCTCACCAAGCAATTAGTAGTGCTAACTATGTCTGGTGTTTGCCACTCCTGTAACTGTGTTGGCCAGATCTATATCTGGTGGGGATACTAAGGCATTCGGTTGTTTTTGTTTTTTTTTATGAGGTTTATAGGTCCAGGAATTCCATTTTGAAATTAGCATCTTTTTCTGTTTAAACTTTTGCTTCTGAAATGGCTTGTCAAAGAAAATTAATGTGCCTAATCCCTAATTTAGGTTAACATTGTCCACCTGTATGATCCTGGTCCCAGCTTTGCTCTTGAGAGCAGAAAAGACATTCTGTCATTTCCTCCCCAGAAGTAAGAGACATGGAAATCATTACTCAGCTCCAGAAAATTTAAAGTTATCAGTGGGTCCTTAAACAGCCCTGGAAAGTAGATACTTGAAACGATTTATCTCTTTATTTTGCCTTCTTATCTTTTTTGTACTTTCTTCCTGATCAGGCCTTGGCACTGGTGCCCCTGTCATTGAGTCACCTTATGGAGAGACTATCAGTCCTGAGGATGCCCCTGAGTCCATTAGCAAAGCAGTTGCCAGTCTTCCACCAGAGCAGATGTTTGAGCTGATGAAGCAAATGAAGGTGAGAGGAGGCAATAAGTTATGAATAAATCCAGTCCCATCAAATTTTCAAGAGTTAAGTGATAAATTTAATGGAAATGATTCCCTGAGCTCAAATAGAAGGTTTGCCTGTTGACCACCATTTCTTGCACTTAAGTATTCCATGTGTGCACAGGGTGTTTTGTATTTTGTGCAAAGAGCTTTCCATTTTTGTACACAAACACACCAACACAATCTGCCTAGATTTCTGTGACCCATAGATAACAGGTGGAGATATTAAAATGTGGCTTTTTTCCTAAATGGTAGTATAATGGTATTTGAAATGCCTCTTCCTCCTCTTGTCTGCCTTGACTAAGATTTTGTGTGCCGTGCAAAAACCAGTGATAGCTTAAAAAGGCTCTGGAATGCTACATTTCTCAGATGGAAATGGCTCTAAATAACTATGAATTTCTAAGTAATAGATATTGAACCTGATGGTGAATCTGCTTATCTTCTCAGCTGTGTGTGCAGAATAGTCCCCAGGAGGCACGGAACATGTTGCTCCAAAATCCTCAACTGGCTTATGCTTTGCTACAAGCACAGGTAGTGATGAGAATTGTGGATCCAGAGATTGCTCTGGTGAGTACTTCTGGTTCATTTATGGAAATGCCAGGGTAAACCTTGAGTGGGGTAGGAACTACTTGATTGCTTTGTTAAACAGACAACTCATAGATTTGTCTTTTCACTTTGTAGAAAATTCTGCATCGCCAGACAAATATCCCAACATTAATTTCAGGCAACCCGCAGCCACTCCACAGCGCTGGGCCTACCGCAGGATCCAGTGTGTCAATGAACCAGCAGAATCCTCAGGCACCTCAGCCCCAGCCTTTGGTAGGGCATTTGCTCCTTAACATTTCCTTTATCTGTTTAAGAATGTCATTTTCCTTTTAGGAGGATATATTGAAAGATGAAAAGTCAGGAGCCAGAGATGATAATTAAAATTTCCAGGCAAAAAAAGCAGTTTCCAAGTTGCAGAGCATTTGGCATCTGAATGAATATAGATCAGGTGCCAGGTTTGTAAAACAAAGAGATTCTGCCTATATGCTCTATTTTTATAAGTTAATTTTGTGTGTATGTGCATGTGTGACACTGTGGTTGGCACTTTGTTATTCCATATACACTGTTTCACTTAGTACTTATAACAATTGTATGAAGGTGGTACTCTTATTGTCTCCAGTCATACCGATGAAAAAAGTAAGGCTAGCTTTCTAAGTGTGACACAAAACCCTGAAGCCATAAAACATCAGTACATTTGAAAATTGAAAAACCTCTCTGTGGAGAAAAAGAAATAGACACCAAAGACAATTAGCAAATTGGGAAAAAAGTATTTGCCATACACATGATGGACAACCGGCTGATTACTTAAGAGCCTTTAATCATGTTCAAGAATGTTTATTGCCATATTATAATAGTGAAAAATTAGAAACATCTTAAATGTACATCAGCAGAAGAGTGGTGAAAATGTGCTATACCCCGTAACAGTTAAGTAAATCATGTGTGTCACCATGAATGACTTTAAAAAACCTAATTCCATACAGCAGTTAAGATGAACTAGGATATGTAGTATTAACGTGACTTAAAAACAGTACCTTATAGAAGTGAAAGGAAGTGAATGTGGAAGCATTCCCCAAATATGGGAAATACGTGTCTGCATATATCCCAAAAAGATTTTGAATGAGTTGTAAAGAATATGTTCAGTATGTAATGATTTACATAAAACGTCAAAACATCTATAAGAATTCTTTTTTTTTTTAAGATTTTTTTTTATTGGGGAAGGGGAACAGCCAAGTTGTAGTCCTTCAATCTTAGTTGTGGAGGGCACAGCTAGCTCAGCTCCAAGTTGTCGCCATCCTGCCACCATCAGCAGCTAGCAGCTGCTCAGCTCAAGCTGCCGTGTTCAAACTTAGTCGCAGGTGGGCATAGCCCACCCTCCCATGCGGGAGCTGAACTGGAAACCTTGTTGCTAAGAATGCACGCTCTAACCACTGTGCCATCAGCTGCCCGCTGGCAGCTCAGCTCAAGGTGCCGTGTTCAATCTTAGTTGCGGGTGGGCATAGCCCACCATCCCATGTGGGAGTCAAACCGGTAACCTTGTTAGGAGCACGTGCTCTCACCAGCTGAGCCATCCTGCCAACTTTTGGCAGCTCAGTGGCAGCTCACCTCAGGCACAGGTCACTGGCCCATGTGGGAATCGAACCAGCGACCCTGTTGCTCAGAGCTTGCATTCTTAATTAACTGAGCCACTTGGCCGGCCCTATAAGAATTCTGAAGTGGTTGTCTAAGAAGGGGATATAGGGTATAGGATATTGGGGAAGACCATATGGGAGATTTCAATTGTATATATAATTTATTTCCTAATTTGTGTGGTTAATGTTATGTATAATATATCTGGAATTTTTCATAATAAAAAACAGACCTCTTATAAATTAGTAAGAAAATTACCAGGAACCCAGTAGAAAAGTATGCAGTGGACATAATCAGTTCACAAAAGTGGAAATCCAAGTATATATTACATCAGCGGTTCTCAACCTTTCACAGGGGTCGCCTAAGACCATCGGAAAACCCATATTTTCGATGGTCTTAGGAACCACGACACCGCTCCTCTATCCATCTCCAGGCCCACTTGCAGATACGCCCACATACGAGTACCCGGTGACCCCTGTGAAAGGGTCATTCGACCCCCAAAGGGGTCGCGACCCACAGGTTGAGAACTGTTGTATTACATATATGAAAAAGTGTTCAATCTCAAAATATTGGGTTGGAAAAGTCATGATGTATTTTTTCTATGTTTTTCATTGCAAAAATGCATCATGATTTCTCCAACAACCTAATAAGATAAATGTAAACAGAAAGTACAATAAGCTACCATTTTTCACCTATCAGATTGGCAGAGGCAAACAGCTTGGATGGTTCATACAAAGGTTTAAGATGGTGGTGGGCAAACATCTTCTGTAAATGGCTGGATAGTAAATATTTTTCGCTTTGCAAGCTGTGGAATCTCTCCTAAGTACTCAACAATGCCATTGGAATTTGAAGTCAGCTACAAACAATACATAAACAAATATGCGTAGTTATACTCCAATAAAACTTTATGAAACCAGGCAGTAAGCCAGATTTGGCCATGGGCCATAGTTTGATGACCCCTGCTCTAATTCATTAAATGCTTTTTCGGAAATAGTAAGGAAATAAATTATGACTCCGAAAAGTTAACTAGTCCAAAAATAACATAATTGCAAATGGCAAATCTAGGAACTGAACCTGGTTCTGTCTACCCTTATAGCCTGTTTTCTCTTGGCCACCACACTATACAATTTTCTGTTGCAGAGATTTGTGTTCTCTGAGTGTATATGTGATTTTTTTTATGACTTAGCTTTTATTCTTTCTTAATTGGGCTCTTCTATTCCAAGAGACTTCTCAGTTCTCTGGAGACTACAGAGGTGAAAACATAACATTCCCTTTTCCTCCAGGAGTCTTTCTTTTATTTTCGTTTCTTTCTTTCTTTTTAAGTTGTAAAATGTATATTTATTCTTATACTTCTGATCAGTTGTACAACTTATCTAGGACAAATTACCAGGTAAATTTTACACTACTTCTTCAGGACTGGTGTTTTTCAGTGACTTCAAATTTGAAGTCAGGGAATGCATTCCTGTCTGTTTTGCTATATATTTGCTTAAGCTCAGCCCCCTCTCCAAATCTTGCTGATAATCTGGGCCAGTATCAACAGGTCCTCCAGATGACTGCCACTTAGTTTTATATTCTCTAATCTTCTCCATGAAGAGTTTCTTTGTATGATCAAGTTCCTTATTAAGTGCCACTGCTCTGACACCAATAGTCCTCCTCAAATGGACTGAGATTGCAGACTGAATGAGAGAACCTGAAGAGCCTCTGAAATCTCATGGTGATTCTGTTACTTGTACTCGGTTTCGAGCTGCTATAGCCACCACTGTCGCCACCATTCTACTTCTGGCCCTGGCTCCACCCCTACCCGCCTATTCCTTCTCCAGCTTTAATGTAGCATTAAAAAATAATGTTTCCCCAAACCAGAATTATATCTGAGGACAGGGATGAGAAAAGATTGGTCAAATAATTTTTTTTCCGTGTTAAAAATGTAGACTGCCAGCAGTTTCTTTTTTAAAAAGTCCCAGTCTCCTCTTTTTCTCCTTGGGTTCAAGGCACTTTTTTTTCCCCACACATCGCCAGGCCCCAGTCATGAAGTCAACAATAGGTGCTGCCTGCAGCCGCACCACATTGTCAACCTTGGCTTTTAGAATATGGCCCATCTTATGAAAGACAGTTAGAGGAATATAATTAGTAATGTTATAACTATTTTGTAGGGTGTCAGGTGGTCACATGTCTTGCTAGGGAGACCGCATCATGGATGGGATAGAGACTTGATCACTGCACTGTACACCTGAAGCTGATGTTGTATAATATTGTATGTTAACTATAAGTGAATAACTATATATATATATATATATATATATATATATATATAGTCATGAGATGTGGAGTCAAGGGAATTGTAATAGATATGTGTATGTGTGATATTGGGGGGGAAGTGTGGTGGCGGATTGGGGGAGGGGTTTGTCACCTCGAGGGGTAAAAAATATAACTATTGCACTGTGTTGTACAGCTGAAACTAATTTAAAAAATGTGTATTTCACAATAAAAAATAATTTTTCAAAAAAGCACACACACACAAAAAAATGGTCCATCTTAACCAGGCTCTTCACGTGTATTATAACTTCTCTTCAAAGTGTTTTATAAATCTAATGCTGCATGAGAAATGCTCTACAAAAAGGATATTTGGTAGACTATTTGGGGGTGTCAATTTGAAGAATTCTTTAAGGCCATAGGCTATGTTTATTGACTCCAGTTTTTCTCTTGGTCAGGGTGGAATGCATGTCAATGGTGCACCTCCTTTGATGCAAGCTTCTATGCAGGCTGGAGTCCCAGCACCAGGACAGATATCAGCTTCTATGACAGGCCCTGGCCCTGGTGTCTTAGCTCCTGGAGGTAGGTTTCATTTGTAGCCTTCACTGTTTTGGTATTTTGCTCAGGTTTTATTATAGCAAATGGGATAGATCTTGATATGAGATTAATACACAGCTAGAAAGTATATATCCTAAATGGAGGAAATAGTTGGTTTCTTATATACAAATCCTATATGCCTGATTACAAGAACAGGACAGTAAAGTGGAAAAGTACAGTAAAACCTCCAAGTTAATAAAGGGAAAATTAGAATGAATGAAAACTAGACCAAGCTAGCAAATACAGAGAAAAGGAAATGACATTGTGAAATAAGTAATAATAAACGGGGAGTAAAGTGGAAGGAATAATATCTCATATAGTGATTATTTTACTAAATGTGCATGGACTGAATTCTCCCATTAAAAGCCAGAGATTAAAAAGCACTTGAAAAAAATACACAGAATACATGGTCATGTTTCTCCTTATTATACTGAACAGACATAAAATTGAATTTCGTAAAAATAATCAGACTAAAGAGCAAAAGGAAAAAAGAATTTTAGAAACTATATTTTCATGGGAAGTATGTATATAGGAATTAATAGTGTTTTGCTATTACACTTGTAGCTTTTTATCATTCAACAATGGTAACTAAAAAAAGTTATGGTTGAAATAGTGATCCTCTATATGAAATGCCTGTATGAATGCAAGTATATCACTATTGAAAGTTTTTGTGCAACAAACTTGCTTCTTGATAAATTATCTAATTTGGGTTAGATTGACTATAACACTACTCATGGGGGATAATTTAATCTAAATTGTTCTGTTTTATACAGAGCAAAGTTGACAAGGAATGGAAGAAGGGATTTTTAAAGAAATTCCAGCAAACTCACAATTTTTATTTATCCTATAGAGTTAAATTATCTTTTAGTGAAAGAAATAGATTCTGTAATTTATACATTTGTAGTTATAGGTGTGTAGTTCACCATAAAAGATCACAATTTGTAATGTGGTCCTACTACACATGACAAGTACAGAAGCCAGGACATATGCAGCTCATTACATGAGTTGAAAGACATCTGAATACCCTGTTCAGTGAGACAAGTGCACTGATCACTCACTTGGATGTCACAGCAATGCCAGATTGCTA